AATATTTATTTTTTAGTTCTCGGCGGACACAACATCTTTCTTTGTATGTAGTGCTGAGGATCAAACCCGGGCCACAGGCATGCCAGGCAAGCGCGCTACAGCTTGAGCCACATCCCCAGCCCTTCTTTAACTCTTATTTAATTAAAATTATGATTGCTGCTGGGCGTGGTGGTGCAAGTCTGTAATCCCTGTGACTAGAGAGGTTGAAGCAGGAGAATCGCCACGTTCAATATTAGTTTAGCAATTTAGTGAGGCCCGAAGCAACTTAATGAGATCCTTTCTCAAAAAATAAAAAAGGCTGGGGATGTAGCTATTGGTAAAGCCCCTCTGGGTTCAACCCAGTAGCAAATAAATGAACAAACAAATGGCTAGGATCGTAGCTCATTGGTAGAGCTCTAGTCTAGTTTGTGGGAGACCCTGGCTTCAATCTCCAGTATAAACAAACAAACAAACAAACTGCACTTCATGGTTAATTCTCCTGCCTCAGCCTCCTGAGTCACTGGGATTACAGGTGTGAGACACTGTGCCCAGTCAGGGAGTTGTTTTAATTTCCCTTTCCTTCCCTCCCTCAGCTATGGGGAAGGCACTTCCTTACAATATTCAGAAAGCCAGAACAGACAGATCATCAGTGAATCAAGGACAGGCGGGCAGGCGGGTGGGGTGTGTGTGTGTGTGTGTGTGTGTGTGTGTGTGTGTATGTGTGTCTTAATTCTGTTTTGAAGCATTTCACTATAGGGCAGCTAGTCCCTGCACTAATTTGATGTTTCCCCCAGCAATCCCCCCCTCTATTTCTTCTTAAATCCAATTGACATCAATTTTAGGGCTTTGTAGAAATTGGATTTGTGGGGTGAGGATAAAGATCAGTGGTAGAGTGCTTGCCTAACATGTGCAAGGCCCTGGGTTTCATCCCTATCACCACAAATGTTGGATTTCTGAAATGTCTTTATGTCCCTTCCTTTGCCACTTAATAAACATTGCTTTCCTGGATGGGTCACAGGTACATTCCTGGGGGTACTGCAGCTTCACATCTTGTATGTCAGTTTGCCCCAAGTGTTGGGGATAGGTACTTAAGGAATTTGCAAGTTGACTATAGCTATCAAACAGGCCATGAAAAACTCTGAACTTGAAAGTGAAAAAAATGTTTTCATTTTTCAAGTCTCTCTCATTCCTGAATTAACTTAAGGAAAAGATTTTATTTGGTGCCAGTTCCTTAACATTTTAGAATCTCCCCTTTCTCAATCAAAGGAGCTTATGTAAATATCTAGCCAGTGTTTAATAATATTATATTTACTTTTACATTCTTTTTATGGCAAGTGATGTGACTTTTTTTTTGCTGGGGGTACCAGGTATTGAACTCAGGGGCATTTGACCATTGAGCCACATCCCCAGTCCATTTTTTTGTATTTTATTTAGAGACAAGGTTTCACTGAGTTGTTTAGTGCCTCACTTTTTGCTGAGGCTGGCTTTGAATTCATGATCCTCCTTTCTCAGACTCCTGAGCCACTGGGATTATAGGCATGTGCCACCATGCCTGGCATGATACCAATTTTAATACAGCCTTATTGATCTAATTCATGTATCATGTAATTGGTCCATCAAAAGTATAGATTTCAAGTCTCCGGGTATAGCTCAATGTAGAGCATTTGCCTAGCAAGGCCTTGGGTTCAATCTCCAGTCCCACAAACAAAAGTGTAGAAATTAGTGTTTTTTAAAAAGTATATTATGGGGCTGGGGATGTGGCTCAAGCAGTAGCGTGCTCGCCTGGCATGCGTGCGGCCTGGGTTTGATCCTCAGCACCACATACCAACAAAGATGTTGTGTTCGCCGAGAACTAAAAAAA